TGATGAGATTGCAACAATTCAGTCACATCTTCTGGCTTCTAATTCTAGTTCTCTTGCTATTTCCACCACATTAGCAGTTATTTCTTCCACTGAAGTCTTTGATGTCTCAAAATAATCCATGAGGATTGGAATAAACTTCTTCAAAACTCTTGCTAAGGTTGCTATTTTGACCTCCTCCAATGAGTCATGAACGTTCTTAATGATATCAAGAACGATGAATTCTTTCCAGAAGATTTTCAATTATTTTGCCCCAATCCATCCAAGGGATCACTGTCTATGGAAGCTATAGCACTACAAAATTTATTCCTTAGGTTATAAGACTAGAAGTTTGAAATTACTCTTTGATCTGTGGGCTGAAGAATGAATGTTGTGCTGGCGGGCATGAAAACAGCATAAACCTCCCTGTACATCCTTGCTCTGAATTAGGCTATGGATTAGGGAAATGTTGTGGCTGGTTTGATCTTCTATTTAGCCCACTGAAACTTTTTCCATATTAGCAGTGAGGCTTTTGACACTTTCTTATTGTTTGTGTGTTTATTGGCATAGCACTTTTAATTTCCCTCAAAAACTTTTCCTTTGTATTCTTAACTTGGCTAACTAATTGGTGCAAGAGTCTAACTTTTGGGTTATCTTGGCATTCTACATGCCTTCCTCATTAAGCTTAGTTTTTCCTAGCTTTTGATTTAACATGAGAGACATGCAGCACTTCCCATCACTTGAACAGGTAGAGGCTAATGTGAGGTTATTAGTTGACCTAATTTGAATACAATTGTGTCTCAGAAAATAAGGCGGCCTGAGGAGAAAGAGAGAGAGAGAGAGAGAGAGAGCGCAAATAGCTGGTCAGTGGAGCTGTGAGGACACATGCAATATTTATCAATTAAGTTTATATGCGTGCTGTTTGTAGTATCCCAAAAGCAATTACAATAGTAATATCAAAGATCACTAATCATCATAAGACATATAAAAATAATTTTAAAATTTTAAATATTGTGAGTACTAAAATGTGACACATCGACATAATTTTTCCACCTGCTGTTAGAAAAACAGTACCAGCAGACTTGCTCAACTTACAGCTGCTGTTGACCTTCAGTTTGTAAAAACCACGTGTTTGTGAATCACAAGAAAGCAAAGCACAATCATATGAGTTATGCCTGATTTTTGCTGTTCTTTTTCTAGTTTCCTGACGTGAAAGCTTAGATTATTGATTCAAGACTTTCACCTTTTAAGTTTTGTGTTATAAGATTTTTCCTCAGCACTGTTTTAGCTGCATACTACACATTTTAATATGTTGTATCTTCATTTTTGTTTAGGTCACTATATTTCTCAAATTTTCTTGAGACTACCATGAGCTATTTATATTTGGTTTCCATGTGTTTAGAGATTTTCCTGTTATCCTTTTGTTATTGATTTCCAGCTTGAAATCCATGTGGTCAGAAAACATACTCTGTATCATTTTAATTCTTTTAAATGTGTTGAGGTTTATTTTATCATTCAGAATATGGCTTCCTTATATGAATGTGTATCTGTGTATACATATTTACGTCTTCTGTGTATTCTTCTGTGACAGAAGTTCACTCTGTCACCCAGGCTGGAGTACAGTGGCACAGTCTTGGCTTATTAAAACCAATGCCTCTTGGATCCAAGCAATTCTCTTTTTTTTTATTGCATTTTAGGTTTTGGGGTATATGTGAAGAACATGCAAGATTGTTGCATAGGTACACACGTGGCAGTGTGATTTGCTGCCTTCCTCCCCATCACCTATATCTGGTATTTCTCCTCATGCTATCTCTCCCCAACTCCCCGCCCCCCGCTGTCCCTCCCCCTTTCCCCCCAACAGACCCCAGTGTGTAGTGCTCCCCTCCCTGTGTCCATGGGTTCTCATTGTTCAACACCCGCCTATGAGTGAGAACATGCGGTGTTGGATTTTCTGCTCTTATGTCAGTTTGCTGAGAATGATGGTTTCCAGGTTCATCCATGTCCCTACAAAGGACATGAACTCATCGTTTTTTATGGCTGCATAACATTCCATGGTGTACATGTGCCTCATTTTCCCTGTCCAGTTTATCATCAGTGGGCATTTGGGTTGGTTCCAGGTCTTTGCTATTGTAAACAGTGCTGCAATGAACATTCATGTGCACATGTCCTTATAGTAGAACGATTTATAATCCTTTGGCTATATAACCAGTAATGGGATTGCTGGGTCAAATGGAATTTCTACTTCTAGGTCCTTGAGGAATTGCCACACTGTCTCCCACAATGGTTGAACTAATTTACACTCCCACCAACAGTGCAAAAGTGTTCCTATTTCTCCACATCCTCTCCAGCATCTGTTGTCTCCAGATTTTTTAATGATCACCATTCTAACTGGCGTGA